GGTGGGAGCCCCGAGCTGGGAACAAGTGAGTGCATCCCCTCCAAACTGCTGGAAAACCACCATCACCATTCACCACTCTACTTTCCTCACCTCTGCAGAAGTTTCCAGCAAAGAGACCATGGCAGAGCAAAGCTCACAGCCTCCCCTGGAGATGGAGTATGCCTCACATTCAAAATACAGTAGTTTCATGCCACAGAACATGAGGTTTCATCAGCCGTTGGCAATGTCCTTGCTCTCAGCCCGGGGGGGAGCACCGGCGGGCCAAGCTCACCCGTGCACCCAACCACCACCATGTGAGCACCTGGGCAGCTTTGGCGTTCCATCGGATGACACCCAGAGATCCCTTCCCATCCCCACCGCTCCACACGACCAGCACAGGGCTGCACCCCCTGAGAGCCCCCAGCCGGCCCGTCAGCCTTTACCCGCTTTGTCTATCCAGGCCCGGTATCCATTGAGCTCCCTCTCGATCTGCTGCTGGCGTCGCAGCTTCATGAAGGCTCGGCGGTTCTCCACTCGCTCGCGCTCTTTGGCAAACTCCCTGCGGGGAGGGCAGAGGGGGACGGTGAGAGCGCGGTCGGGGGGCGGCGGTGCGCACCGGGGGTTGGGGTCTCCACGGTGCCCAGAGGGGAGGCAAGGAATGAGGGTGAGCACAAGCCAAGGGTTGCTGGAGCGTGCTGGGGAGATGCATGGCCATCCCCAGCCAAAGCACGGCCAGGCGATGGATGAAGGAACGGAGAGGAGGAGAGGTTTCTTTGCAGGGGGAAAGGCGCAGATGCACGTGAGCAAATCCGCTGCTCGGTCACTCAGCACTGCATGCCCTGGACGGGAAGTGCTGCTGTTTGGGGAGCATGATCCCAACACCACCCAGCTCCAGCACCAGCTCGGTTCCTGTGTGTCCCTTCAGGGAATAAAAACCAGGCACTGTGAGGAGGAAGGGGATGGGGAAGGGCAGGTCCTGTCCCCTCTGCCTTCACCTCCTCCCCTGAACCCTTTTTCTTTCCAGCCTCTCCCTGGAGGATTTTCCCAAGTCTTGAGACATCCCTGTTGTCCTATCCTGGACTTCAGTGTCTCACGTAAACCGTCCAGGCGTGATGACCACTCCAGAGAAGGACAACATCTGGGCTCCACAGGCAAAGGAACATGCCCGCCTGGGGCCAAACACAGAGTCCGGAGCTAACGCTGTGCCCGCTGCAGCCTCTCACACTCCTGGTACACGGATATACCAGCATCCACGTGCTCACATGGGCACAATCATAAACACACTCCTCAGTACGTGAGATACAGGATTTCGCCTACAGCCCAGCGCAGAGCCCATATACAGCCAGGGCTACACACACCTCCTCTTGTGCAGTGAGGAGACCTCTGCCTTCTGGTACGTACGCGCTCGTGGCCACACGCCGCAAGCCCAGGCAGGCTGCCCTCCTGAGGCTTTCACCCACCCTATATGAAGAAGCACCCGAAGCCCTAAGGATGTATTCAAAGGCCATCGCACACAGACAGATGGAAATAACTAGCAGGAAGCACAGGGGTGGCCACGTAGGCAACCTCGACCCACGCCGTGGGTTATATGTGAGACGACACGGCCGGACCTGCTTCTAGGAGGTCCCCCACGCCACATACCTCTATTGACAACCACATTTGCATGCAAGGAGCGTCCCTCACACCAGATCTACCCTTCCTTCCTTGCAACATCATCACAGGGATGCAATCCGCTGGCTGCAGCTCCCCATCCCAGGTGGCTGCAGACCCCCAGCCACACAGAGGAGCCCAGCCCGTGCCCTCAGCCCCCTCCCCATCCCAGGGTGCTCCAAGGGAATCATGATTGCAAAGAACAAATGGCACCGTTCTCTCTGCAAGGCGAACATCTCTCTCCCCGGAGACTAGCAGCAATCTCCAGCCTCAAAAAACAAAACAAAATATTCAAAAGAACTGAAAGAATCGGTCTGTCTGCTGCGAAGAGAGTTCAAGTGCATTACCCCAGCTGAGCTATTACACCCTTAATGCTGTGTGGGCTTTCGCGTGTGTGTGCGCGCGCGTGTTTGTGTCAAAAGCCCTGAATGTTCCCTGCATCTCTTGTTTAAGATCCCCAGACAATTCAGGCATTTTTAATTCCACCCTAGGAAGGTGAAGTTTCCTGCCGCTCTGGCATTAAGCATCGAATGACTCTCCCCCTCCATCGCTGGCTTTCAGACTGAAATGAGAGTTTCTTCCTAGGGCAAGGAAGGGGGAGAGAACAAAAGGCAAGGAAGAGAAAAGCAGCATAAGTGGAGGCAAGGAGGGCGGGAGGAGACGGGGGAGAGGGAAGGACCTCCCACAGCCAACAGCAAAATGCACTCTCAGTTTTGGTCATGCCGTGCCAAAAACCCTCCTTGCTCTAGCTGGAGGAAAGGCAGGACCATTTTGGCTGTGCCATCATCCCTCGCTGGTCTTTGTTAGCAACTCTGGGATGCCAAGAAATGAGAAGATGCCATCTGCAGCCAGAGTTAGCGGGGAATTTGCTTCTCCCTCTCTGGTTTGGTCCACTGGTCCTCTCCCATGCGCTGAACCTCTGCCCCATAGGCCATAACCCCACGCCAGCCAGCACCTTGGCAGAACCTTTGCCAGCCAGACCCTGCAGATATATTCTGCACCTGGATATATTCCAGCACCTGGAAAGCTTCCCCTGATTTACACCAGCTGGGAATCTGGCCCTTCTCTGTCACCTCCTGCTTGCCCATCCCTCTTTCTTCCATCTCCCCCTCTGCTGAGGCTAGCATCTCCTTTAGCTGCCATCATCATGTGTCCACAACGAAACCCAGCCAGAAGGACCAGCTGAGCCTCACATCACCATTTCCCAGAGGAGGAGATGGGAGCATCTTTTCCAGCAGCCCCCTCATCAAGCAACATTTCCCCCTACCCAACCGTTGGCTCACAGACCCCTAATTTGCAAGAAGCTGGTGCCACACGCATCCAGGGACAAGGTCCGTGCAGCCGCGGCAGTGTCTCAGAGGGAGATGCTTCCCACACACTTGATCCCTAATGGAGCTTAATTGCTTTTGTCCATTAGAAGGAGGAAGGGGTGGCAGAGACGGGAGGGGGGAAAGAAAAAAAAAGTTAAGCTCAACTTAATGAATTATTACATTTCAGAGAGACACGTTACCGAGCAGGGCAGCAGCGGGGGCTGGTGACATCTGAGAGTGGGTAGGCGATGCTGACAGATCAAGGATTGCTCAGAGCCAATTTGCAGCAGCGGGTAGAGATAATACTGTGTGTGAGTGAGAACAGGGCCAGCGATGATGACTGACAGCCGCTTGGGAAGGCTCCAAGTCGCAGGCAGGGCAGCATCGCAGCACCAAGAGAGCCGGGCGCCTGCCTCCCCTTGAAGGGCTCTGCTCCCTGGCTTGTTTTGGGTTACAATGCCAGGGATGGCCTGATTCTGCCTTGCAAAGAGCCCAGGGTGGCGCTGCGAGGTGGCTCAGAGGACCTCAGCAGAAGGCATGGTCCCCACTAGCAACACCATTCCTTGTCCACCGGAGTCTCCTGGCCCCAAAACCTCATGTCTCCAGCAAGAAAAAGTCCCCCACGACCACTGAGCTCCACTCGTGCCAACCCCATGTCGTTGCAGCCCCCTCCGTCCAGCCTCATAAAGCCGAAGGCACGCAGCGACTGCTGGAGGTCGCGGTGGGAGCTGGAGACCAGGATGCCATCTGTCCTCCGGCACGCAAGGCCACCATCCATCCGCACGCCGTGCCGGGGAGATGGGAGCACAGATGGTTCTGTCCTCCTCTGCCTGCAAATTCTCCTCTATAGCCTTGGCATTCCCTTCACGTGGCCCGAGAGCGTCTCTGCTCCTGGCAGGAGACCTTGGGGGACACCGCTACGCTCAGCTGCTTCCCTCCCAGGGCCCCCCGCACCCTCGCCTGCACTGGGGCAGCGACACTTTTACGACATCGGTGAGCTCTGCCCGGAGGACTGGAGAGCCCAGGTCTGGTTGTAATGGGAGAAGGATATGTGAATGGATCCACCTTGAAATTGGGCCCCCTTTTTTGGGGAAAAAAAAAAGGGGGGGGAAAACACAAAAAAAACCCAAACCCAAACAAAACCCAACCGCAAAAAAGAAAACCACCAGAAATTAGCTAAGAAAAAAAAAATCACAGATGCTGCAACCCACTTTTATCCTTTCCAGAGCTTCTTTAAGTCCAGAGAAGGTATATAGGTGCTGGTGATATGAATATTGTGGCTTCCATGCTTTGAAACTGCAAGCCAACCTTCTTCAAACCCATCAATTCATCATCTTTTGCCACTGTTTAAAGACACCTCCAACAAACGAGGTACCAAACGGTGCTTAAAATTATATGACAGAGCAGAAAGGATGGGGTGGGAAGAGGAGAAATGCTGGATTATACGCCGAGGATGAGGCAGCAGTACCATGCTGTGAAAAAAAACATATATAATGGGATGTGTAACAAGGAACATCATCAGGGAATACTGCTGCTCTCCTCAGCACTCACGAGGTCTCAGCTCATGGCTCTGTTTCAGGTTTGAGCGCCACAATTTGAGGAAAAAACCGCCTTCGAATCCAGGAGAGTGTCAGGGAAGGTTATGGGACACAACTGACAAAAGACAGTTTGGAAAACACGGATGAGACAGTTGGAAACCGGGGGGATCAGATGGTATTTTCCCAAGAGGTGCAAAGGAACTGAAGTCAGAGCGTTGAACTAACCGTGCAGGCTGTAACCTGGTGCTTCAGCTTCAGCAGAGGGTGGCACGCAGACACAGCAGGACCGGCACTGCCGAACAGGGTGACGGCACTGCACCGGCACCAAGGGCCGGAGCAGGGGGACTGAAAGGTACCAAAAACCTTTGGTACTTGTAAGGTACCAAAACTGGAGGGAAGATGTGCTTCATAGGTCTGCTCTGAAGGAGGCAGCAAGTCTTTTGGATATGGGTAATTGCTTGATTGAAGTTCACTTGAATTGCCAGAAGAAGTCAGAGAATATTCAAGGTCAGGTTGGACGGGGCTGTGAGCAACCTGATCTAGAATCATAGAACCATTTAGGTTGGAAAAGACCTTTAAGATCACCGAGTCCAACCATTAACCCAACACTGCCAAGTCCACCACTGAACCATATCCCTAAGCACCTCATCTACGTGTCTTTTCAATCCCTCCAGCGATGGTGACTCCACCACCTCCCTGGGCAGCCCATTCTGATGCCTGACATCCCTTTCAGCAAAGAAAGTTTTCCTCACCTTCAATCTAAACCTCCCCTGGTGCAACTTGAGGCCATTTCCTCTTGCCACCTGGGAGAAGAGACCAACACCCAGCTCACTACAACCTCCTTTCATGTTGAAGATGTCACTGCTCATTGCAGAGGGCTTGGACTAGATGATCTTTAAAGGTCCCTTCCAACCCAAACTATTCTGGATCCTTAACAACGCCAGATTTCTTTAAGAAAGTCTTCCAATGAAGCACTTATTGATGAAAATAATTTTAAAAATTAAAGGAAAACAGAAACATCCTATCTCTTGTATTCCCTTTTAGCGGTGGCCGTTAGCTTT